CACCTCCCACCCCCATCACCATCTTTTAGTTAACGGTGAGTTATAACTCTGCAATAATCAGGCTAAGAAGAACTGAGCATGCTGAACAGATGAAAACAGGACTCAGGGGGCGCTGTCATGGAAGAACTGTCATGGAAGGGAAATGCGGTATCATCAACCCAGTAGTAGGCATTTTGGAAGTGCACATTTGGAGGATCTGGATTTAGAGTCTAGCTCTGCTACTTACATGGCATTAACCTCTCTGGACGTCAGCTTTCTCTAGTAAAATAGAGATAATTACAGACTTGCAGGGTTACTTATATATATTGTAGCACTATAGCACTGTCCTCCCATTGTTCATCGATTTGCTGGAACGGGCACCAGTAACGTCTTACAACAAATTGTGAGACTTGTTGTTACTGCTTTTGGCACATTGAATATGTCATGGGTAGCTTGCCAGGCTTTGCCATGCAGACGAGATACTCTCGGTAGCTTGCCGGGCTCTCCGAGAGGGGCGGAGGAATCGAACCCAGGTCGGCTGCATGCAAGGTAAAAGCCCTACTCGCTGTGCTATCACTCCAGTCCTTACATACATATTATATAAATAATATACACACATATAAAACATATATACATATGTATTTTGGGGGATACTCTCCAAAGTTCAGGGGACACCAGGGTTATCTGTGGTAGTGCTAGAGAGCAGCATGTGGGTACAGAACATTGAACCCAGGGCCTCAGTCATGCAAGGAATGAGCTCTCTCACCTGAGCCAAATCCCTGCCTCCTAGAGAAATGTGCTTCTCCCTCAAATGTGTCTGCAGAGGGCAAAAACTGTCCCTTTTTTTTTGCAAAATATTTAGTAAGTCCATGCTAAAAAGACAAATATTTGCTAGTCTTGGGGCAGTCAGCTAGAATAATCAAAGAACATGACTTTGAGGAGGTGAATGGATGAGACAGTGACAATGACACAGAATGAGACAGGCTGTTACAGTGGGGACCACTGAGAAAATAAAAACCTGTGGAGACCCTGGAAGCCCTAGGGAGAGGCTCACTTAGGAATCCTCAAAGCTGGGTTTTCTGGGGAAGGGGGAGCTTTTTGGATAAGTTGGGGTGGTGGAGACTACTCCCAGTTCTATGCTTGAGGGTTGTTTTCAATAGTGCTCACAGCACCATGTGGTGCTGGGTATTGAACCTGGGCCTCCATCATGCAAGGCATGTATTCAGCCCCTTGAACTCTCTCTTGCCCTAAGCTGGGTCTTAAAGGGTGACCCAGAGTTCTCCAAAGGAGAAAGGAAACACAAATTTTACAGAGAGAAAACAGAGGAGCACAGGCATGGGTACATAGTGCTTTTAGGGAATATGGAGGAGTTTGGAGAGGTTGGGTATGGAAAACTGGGGCAGTACTGGCAGAAATGGGGTTCTGAGGGAGGTCAGATTTGAGATGTCAGAAGCTCATCTACTAGGCCTTGGAGAGTGGCTTTAAAAGTCTTATGAGGCTGGTTCCTCTCAGGATGGGAAATGCATGATGAGAGTAGACTATAGACCGAACAAGATTGCCACTCAATGTCTCTTTTGCAAACCATAGCACTCAAAAGGAGAGAGATAACAAAAGGGAATGCCCTGCCACAGAGGTAGGGTGGGTTGGGGGAATAGGGGGTGGGAGGGATACTGGGACTGGTGGTGGTGGAGAATGGGCACTGGTGGAAGGATGGGTACTCAATCATTGTATAACTAAAACCCAAGCACAAAAATTTGTAAGTCTACAACTGTACCTCATGGTGTTTCACTAATAGAAATTTAAGAAAAAAAAGTTTTATGAGGCTGATGTACTAAAAGTAGCACACATTTGTTTTGGTTTAACATACATGCTTGTATTCTCTTATATAAAGGCTTAAATGGCTCCAGGATGAAATACAACAATCTTCACACACTTTCCTCTTATGGTGGTGGGAAGGCGCATGGTGGTGGAATTGGTGTTTGAATATTAAATGTGATGAATTATTGTGAACAAATTTATAACAATAAAATAAAATAGAAATGAAAGTCTTGTGAGTCTCTCAGCTAATGATATTTGTTAGCACTCTGGGAAGGATGATGGGGAGGAATTGAATAAGGGCAACGGCAGTTCCAGGGAGCGGGATGAGCTTGGGCTGGTGTTGGAAGTACACAGGAAACCAAACAGAGATAATATGCAGAAGGCGAAGACTTCTTATGGGACAGGGGTAGATGAAGGATGACCTTTCCCAGAACGCACAGGTTGATGATGAAAGAGGTGGTCCAGCAAGCAGAGGAGGTGTGTTCAGAGACCCAGACCTACCCATCCTAGGCATGAGCTGTGTCACTAGGGACAAGGTCCTTCTACCCCGGAAGCCCAGTGTGGCATCTCTGAGGTAAGGATGATGATAGTCACTCCACTGTGTGGAGATTGAAGCAGCTCTCAATGGCGGGATTACATGCTGGAGGCCCACTTGTTGGTCAGCATCTGTGCAGCATTTAACTTTCACGAATAATTTTGAGTGCTGTTCTAGGTGTTATGAATTCATCAGAGACAGAAGCCGATCCAAAAAACAACAACCCTGAAAGTGTTTAAAAAATGGAATTAATTGCCAACTTTTAATAACCCAGTGCTTAAAAAAAAGTGTGAAGTTCTGTTTTTTTTTTTGTGGTTGTTATTGTTTGTTTTTTAAACAGGAAGTTCTGCCTCTCTGAGTTACTGTTTGCATGGTAAAGAATGGAGGTGAACAGTGCACAACAATGATGATTATTAGTAGTTAGAGCTTTTTTTTTGCCATAGTCCTCACTACTCCCCAGTGATTATCCTGCTTGCTTCCCTTATTATTATTATTTTTTATTGTATTACCGTGAGATACAATTACAAAGCTTTCATGTTTGAGTTTCAGTCATACAATGATCGAACACCCATCCCTCCACCAGTGCACATTCTCCACCACCGACGTCCCCAGTATCACCTCCCCTTCCCCCTGCCCCTATGGCAGACAATTTCCCCCATAATCTCTCTCTACTTTGGGGCATTATAGTTAGCAGTATAGATACTGAGAGGCTATCACGTTTGGTCCTTTATCTATTTTCAGCACACATCTCCCATCCCAAACAATTCCTCCAACCGTCATTGACTTAGTGATCCCTTCTCTATTCCAGCTGCCTTTTCCCCCAGCTTATGAGGCCGACTTCCAACTCTGGAGCAATATTCCTGGCCCTTGTATCTACTTGGGTGACCTTGGGTATTGGTCTTATATTATGATATTTTATATTCCACAAATGAGTGCAGTCATTCTATGGCTGTCCGTCTCTTTCTGACTCATTTTACTCAGCATGATACTCTCCATGACCATCCACTTATAAGCAAATTTCATGACTTCTTCCTTACTAACAGCTGCATAGTATTCCATTGTGTAAGACGTACCAAAGTTTCTTTAACCAGTCATCTGTTCTCGGGCATTTGGGTTGTTTCCAGATTCTGGCTATTGTGAACAGTGCTGCAATGAACATATAGGTGCAGATGTTATTTCTAATGTGCTTTTTTGCACCCTCGGGATATATTCCCGGAAGTGCTATTGCTGGGTCATATGGAAGCTCAATCTCTAGTTTTTGAAGGAATGCCCATATTGTTTTCCAAAAAGGTTGCACCAGTCAGCATTCCCACCAACAGTGAAGCTTCCCTCATTTATATCACCTGTGAGCACCTATATTTCCAACAACTGGTTTGGTCCAAGTCTCGGACCAAATAGTTGGCTACTGAATTTCAGAGGCTGGCAGTGTGAAGACCATGTGGGATATTCTTAAAAACAGTTCGGGGGCTGTGAGGATGGAGAGGAAAGGAAGGGTATGAAAGACACGAATCGTAAAATCATCACGTGGAATCCCACAGACCTGAGGAACAGCAGGATGAGTTGGAAGTCATCTGGGCTTTCCAGCCTGGAGAGGGCACACAAGGGGCCGGGGGAAGGGAACAGTGGGCAATGGAAGGAATGGAGGGGAAGTGGTGGGGGAGTGGGCAGGTGGAAGGAAGCAGGGCAGTGGGAACGGATGTAATCCCTCCCCCTCCCATGCTATGAGTCTTGCTCTGCCCCAAGCTGCCCGAGGTGTGGGTGTTCATTTCCCAGAGTTGTGACCCCCCAGCTCAGCGTTCTCCTGCATCATCTCAGTGTCCTGGGTTGATGCAGTCGCTCAGGTCACCAGGAGTTATGCCTGGCATTTTGGACGTTTCCATTGCTTCTGCAGTTCTATTACAACTGCAGACAAATCAAGGATTTCTGCATTTCTTCTCAGTCATGTCGACCTGGACGGGGCCCAAGGGGCGTGGGCATGGCCAGCCCAGGGCTGAGCGTTGGCACCCATTCCTGGCAATATTCGCTGCGTGTTTTCCCACTAGCACATACTTACCGTCCTTGGGAGCTGCTCCGTTGCTTACAGTTGAGGGAATTTTCCTTCTGTTATTTCCTTCATTATTGCTTCTCCTCCATCTGTCCTCTTCACTCCTTCTAGAATTCCAAAAGCGAACTTACGGAGCCTCCAGGAGCCATTCTCTGTTTCTTTTCTCTTGTCTCATTATAGTCATTTTTTGGTGCCTTTCCTCCGATTTTGAGGAAATTGCTTGCACTGACCTTCCACAATGTCTAATTCCGATCTGGGCGGCCGCCTCTTCATTGCTGGCTACTGCTATGTCTCGCTATTTTGAGTATCATACTATTCCTTCTGAATTGATTTTCTTATTTTAGGGCTTTTCTTTCACAGAGGCAATGCTTGTTTTCTTTTGCTTTGTTTTGTTTTTAACAAGCATTGCCTCTATGAAAGAAGTTTCTTTTTTCCCCCATGTTATTTCCTCTGACAGGATGAGAGAGAGAGAGAAAGAGAGAGAGAGAGAGAGAGAGAAAGAAAGAGAGAGAGAGGGAGAAGGAGGGAGAGAGAGTGAGAGAAAATGAACACTGATATAGGGATGGGTGTTGGAACATAATATGACTGAAATCCAACCATGAATAACTGTAACTGCGTGTCTCACTGTGATTCAATTAAAAAAAAAAGACAAGCACCCAGTTTGCTTGAATTTTAAAAGGATACTTCCTTTGCCCCACTTGAATAGCAAATTAAGACTTAAACCCAATTGGCAAAGTGAGAAGGGGACATATGTTTCATTTTGGAAGAGTTTTCTTCTACAGGAGAGGCACAAAGATTACAGGGACTTCACATAAGCCCCTTGCCCAGATTTCCCTAATACAGACATCTCTTAGTAGTGTTGGATCTTATTGCTTGTATTCTGGACAGATTTTTCTAAAGGTTTCTAAGATGTGGATGCAGGACCGCATTTGCAGAGACCTCTGGAATTGGTCTGTTGTTTTTACCACCACATCTTTTCTTATGACAGGTTATTTTTCTTTATTTTCTTTTTGTGTGAGAGATTTATGTTTGCCCAAGACTAAGATGGGTTTAGGCAGATATTGTAAGATTTCTGTTGAGAGAGAGAAAAAAAAGCGAGAGAGCGAGAGAGCTGTGTGTGCACGAGTATGCATGTTCAAGTGGAGGTATTATTTAAATTTGCAATTTAATGCTCTCTCTCCTCTGTGTGTGTGTGTGTGTGTGTGTGTGTGTGTAGAGTGGAGGCATATTTAAAGGTTGTACATGAGTGTGTGTTGAAGTTGAGGTATCATTTAGGTTGTTGACTGCAGTGATAGTACAGCAGATAGGCACTTGCTTTGTTCACGGCTGACCTGGTTTGACCCCCCAGCACTCCATATGGTTTCCAGAACCTGCCAAGAGTGATGTCTGAGTGCAAAGCCAGGAGTAAACCCTGAGCATAGCCGGGTCTGGACCCCATACCTGAACAAAATAAAATAAAATAAAACATGTGTGTGTGTCTGTGTGTGTGTCTTGACGTGGAGGAAATTATCTAAGGTTGAGGAGTTAGAGAGGTATTACAGCAGGTAGGGCACTTGCCTTGCACACAGCTGAGCTGGATTTGACCCCAACCATCCTACCAGGAATGATCCCTGTGTGCCGAGTCAGAAATAATCCCTGAGCATCACCAGTGTGGCTTAAAGGGTAAATGAATGAATGAATGAATGAATGAATGAGTGTGTGTGTGTGTGTGTGTGTGTGTGTGTGTGTGTTGAAGTGGAACCTAGGGATGAACTTGAAGGTCAGTAGTTTATCTGGGCGGTCAGGTGCGGCTGACAGAAGAAGACTGAGGAAGTGAGACTGGGCAGGAGAGGCGACTGCTAGAAGGAACTCCCCTGGGACCTGGACCTCGGTCCACCAGGGGACAGGCAGAGGGTGCACACATGAGTGGGGAGAGGAGGTGAGGGAGCCCAGGTGTACGTACTCCCTGCTTTTCACTCTTGAACTTGGGGTTAGCTGACTCTGCTGAGCAGAGAGTTATGGACAAAACAATGCAGATGGTGGCAGGTGATGACCAGGCTGGCACACAGGGAAATAAGTGAGTGCTGGGTGGGCCCAGAGAAATAGTGGACTCTTTTCGCTGTTCCTTTTCCACCTAGAGGCAAATATTTGCCCCCTGCCCAGTATTTCCAAGCTCTTTTTCCATACCTGGTTGCTCCTAGCTTTCTTTCTTTCCCTCCCTTTTAGCCAGGGGAGAAAAAAAAGAAAAAGAAATTCTGGTTCTATCAGAAATCTCTCCTGGGTATTCTGTGGATGGGGCTTTTCTACAGCCGGTTTGGAATTTCGAGTGGGCCAGCATCACTCTGGGTTGGTCGTGGCCTGCGTGATGCTCAGGGCCATTCCATGGGGCTGGGGGGCTCTTGGAGAGCTTGCATCCTTACTATCCAACATGGAGAGAGCATCCCCCCTTCAACTACATCTCTGGATTTCTTTTTTGTTCACTTCTATTTGATGGGAGAAAAGGATTTAAATCTGAAGGCTCAAACTGGCATCTCGAAATGCAAGTATGACTTATTCCCCAACGGTATTCTTAACACATTATCTTGGGGGCATTTGAACTTATGTGTGTTTAATTTAATAACAGTTATAAAAAAATAGCAGGAAGAAGCTGCTGCATTATTCACTTGGTTCAAAGACCATTTATGTTTCCCCAACATTAACTTCCTGTACTTAAACTGACAAACCCTAGATAAATGCAATAATTTCTTCACATTTCACCACGATCAGCTCTTTATTTCCAACAGCAACAATTGTATTTCTCATTAACTTGTCCACTGCTGATCCTTGGAGTGTTCGAATCGTTGAAAAAAAAAATTGTAAGGAACTGTCAGAGCTACTGTATGAGGCTGAGGAAGTATGAAGAAGAAGGAAGACGCGATTCTAGTTTTCTCTCAGCGAGAAGGGTGCTGTTAAGCTGTGAGCCAAACTTTCGTGTCTTTCTCCTCTGCTGTGGGTGCTAAATCTCACACATGCTATTTGTCATGGATGTTGCTTGGGCATGTGCTGGAGGAGAGTGGTGGTGGTGAGGGGGCTTTGGAAAGAAGAGTTAGAGATGATTGGGGGCTCTAGGAAGTCCAGAATGCAAGAGGAAAGCCCAGATTTAGAGCCAAGAGTTGTGGAGCGATCTCCTCTGACTTTGCAGGTCACCATCGACCGAGTGGGGGTCAGAATGAGAAACCCACGTTATCCTATGATGCCAGAGTGATGAGTTAGTTGCAGTTTCTTGAATGTTAGAGATAGTGCAACCTTTTGACCAAGCCCGTTTCTTATTTCTGGGCACAGAGAGGGCTGGTATTGATTCTCATATCCTCTTACAGCTGGTGCAGTCATGTCATTTATTCTAGCCGACGGAACGTGGATGGAATGATGGGTCCCCTGTCAGGTTCAACACAGAATAGGCATGGAGACCACAGAAGCTAGAAAGTGAGGCTTCTGGCTGGGCCAGTTGGGAACTGGACACAGGGGCCTGGGATATTGGATGCAATGCACTGTCATATATTATTTTTTCTTTTTCTTTTTGAGTCACACCCGGTGATGCTGCACAGGGGTTACTCCTGGCTCATGCACTCAAGAATTATTCCTGGCGGTGCTCAGGGGACCATATAGGATGCTGGGAATAGAACCCAGGTTGGCCGCGTCTAAGGCAGAGGCCCTACCCACTGTGCTATTACTCCAGCCCCGTGCACTGTCATATCTTGACTTGGAATATTTCCCTAATTGCCAGAGACTGTGGTGGGTGTTATGTCCCAAAATCATAATGTAACCTGGCGAGGTTGAGAGGGGGGAGTCTCTTGGACCTGGTAAGGAGGAAAACAGAATATTGCCCCAAGGGTACTGTGGGGCAGTGGCAGCAGGTATGGGGAGCCCACAGGGAGCTTGAGGGCTCGGTGTGTTGGTCGGGGGGAGAATGGATGACAGTAGGGTGCACTCTCCTGGGACAGGGCATCTGTGCTGTGGTGAAGCCCCTGAGAAATGTACTGATATGCCAGAAACAGGAAAAGTCACAAAAACAGTGGGGGCCGCTCTGCCGTTCCGCCCATGTGACCCATTGACCCTAGGGCATCTCGTGACGGTTAAGGGTGCTGTTTGTCCTCTTCAGAGGTGATTGGCTGAAAGGCATCTCTCTCCAGGTCCTCTCGCCAGAATCCCAGGATGCTTGTGCTGAGGCATACACTGGGAAGCTCCATCACTTTCCCTCACCTGGAGCAACGCTGAAGGACCAGCTTCAGGTGGCTGCTCTCAGGTGGCATCAGCTGAGCTGTTTGCTATCTGGCTCCATCCTGCTGCCCGCTGCAGTGAGAGATCCAGGAGTACTGACTTCCTCTGCCCAGTCTCAGGACCATGACATCCACAGACGCCAACTTGACATAGCCTCCGTGAGTGGTGTCTTGGTGCCGGCTTACATAATGCCTCTGACTTAACACAGCCCTGCTTCCTCCCATGCTGAGACAGGTTCAGAGACTTGTACAAAGAAGCCCATATCCTTGAATCTTGGGATTTTAATCCACATAACGAAGATGCCCACACCTTCAAAGGCACAGGGAGACAGGGAGCAGCCAAGGGAACAGGAGAGTTACACTCCCCACTTGTGATCACATGGGAGCCTCTGCCCACTGCAGAGGCGCTGTGAAGTCCTGTCGGAACAATCTCAGACATAGGCAGAATCTTCCGGGGCATCCAGGGACCACCATGCACCTGCCTTGGCTCCTTCCATCCTCTCTCCATTCTCAGCAGATATCCTAACGGGGGTGACACACTGGAAGCAGTCCTGGGCACGAAGGGGCATGAGATGACCAAACTCAGAGCCTGTCCTCTCCAGTCACCAAATGCAGGAGAAGAGGTAGGCACAGTCTCAGGAACAGGGCACTGGGAAGGGAATTCAGGAGCTCCAGGAATCCAGAATACGGAGGGCCACTCTGCCTGTCTTCCCCGAGGAAGGGGTGGTAGAGTCCGGCTGGAACAGTAGGCATTTTCCAGGAGGTCACTGGTGCTTCTGTTGGAGGAAATGACACGTTTGCAGCCAAGAAGAGAGGTGGGTTACTTGGCGTAGGATTGGGACATGCCGAGGTAGAGACGGAGAGACAGGAGGGTGGGCTGGAGGTCAGGCGCTGTTTGGATTTTTATACCATGTCTGTTTGCGGCCAGTGTAGAGACAAGGGAGATAGATGCCCATGGAGTGTGGAGGGTGGATAGTTTGGGCAGGGCCCTTGCAGGAGAAGACTGATGGGGTGAGCTAAGACCTAGGTGGCTGGAAATACAAGGGAGGCCCTACAGGCGCTTAGGAGGCAGTCAATAGAACTTGGTTATTCTAGGGTAGTTATGGAAGAGAGAGGGGCAAGGCAGAGTCCTTTGGGATTTTCTTTTCTGGATGCCTGAAGACACCGCCAATTTCACAGGGGCTGTAGCAGTCTGCCTTGGACCTTGCCATGCTCTGAGCAGTCTAAACAAGATAGGTCCTTTCTGCTCTCTGCCTGTGCGTGGATGTGGCCTCATGTGAAGTGAGACATCTGGGAACTGAAGTCACATGTCCACCTGGATATCCGCCGGGCACATAAACGACCTGTGACCAAGTGTGGGGCTTCACATCTCTCCTTTCTGGGTGCCCGCCCTCCCTACCCTCCCAGCCTGGCAAATGCCTCCTGAAACCCAATTCTGTCATTCAGCGAGTGGGGGAGAAAATGAATTCGAACAGTTTAAGGCTGAATCCTGGGATCTGGGGCAACTATTTGGT